AAGGAGAAGGAGAAGGAGAAGGAGAAGGAGAAGGAGAAGGAGAAGGAGAAGGAGAAGGAGAAGGAGAAGGAGAAGGAGAAGGAGAAGGAGAAGGAGAAGGAGAAGGAGAAGAAAGGGAAGGAGAAGAAAGGGAAGGAGAAGAAAGGGAAGGAGAAGAAAGGGAAGGAGAAGAAAGGGAAGGAGAAGAAAGGAGAGGAGAAGGGCCCTCTCACACTCTCCAGGATTATGGGATTTACACTGGGGTTACAGCTGTGCTGGTTAAACTCATCCCTTCCATGGGAAAATCCCTGTTAATCCCGACCCCTGCCCGAGGAGCTCCAAGGCTGGAGCAGTGCTGGGGGTGTTTGAGGCTCTGAGTGACCAGAGGGGCACAGACTCCCTGCTTCTCCATCCAGAGCTGGTTAGGGACAGCCAAAGGCAGGGAAAACATCCCCAAGGCTGATTTTAGTGATATTCCAGGCTGCAGCCTCACCATCATCACTTGGAGGGCCACATGAATAAAGGATGAGGCAGTTAAAATGATGAGCAGCCCTTTGGATCTCACCAAAGCCCCTGGCACCCTTTTTCCAGCCTGGGGATTGCATTTCCCTGCAGCTCCGGCACAGCCTGGCTTTCTTTGGTTCCCCCAGCTCCCAGGGCAAGGGAGTAATTCCATCCCCAGGCACTCAGACATTCTGAAATTGCAGGAGGAACACGAGCTGCCTTCATGCTCTGTGGTCTCCTAATGAATGATGGAGGTTGGGATAAGTAAAAGGCAAAAGCAAATTACAGTCTGTGCCCTCACCACTGCCACGCTTCCCCTGCATCTCATCCAGCCTGAGACTGCCTCGGGAGCTGTGCAGGGATAGCAACTCCAGCTGCATAATTTAGAGAGGAAAACCCAGGAGGGCAAGGGGAAAAAAGCCATTTTAAAGCAGCTGCTGAGGCAGTGAGAGACAAGGCTCCCCCGTGGCCCTGTCACACAGATCCCCAGGGGAAGGGACAGTTTACATCCCTTTGGGCCCATTCTGAGGAATAAGGAGAAGCCCAAACCCCCACACCTCCAGAGGTCTGTGCCTGCTTTACCACCCAAATTAATTGTAGCAGCAATCAAAGGGAATAGCAGATTACTTAGGCGAACTTTGGAGGCTAAAAAATCTGTATTTTAAACAGGATTCATCCTAGAGAGGCTTCACTTCCATGACTCTGTTTTATTCTATTACAGCTGGCACTCCCACTTGAAAGGGCCCTGAGTTATTCACTCATCAGTTCCCACTATTCCAGAGAAGGAGATCATTTGTTCTTATGCAATTTTAACTTAACATTCATTTGTCTACAAATTTGGATTTAAACATTCAGTGGTGTTGGGGAAATGCCTTTCTGTTTAGAGGCCATGGGACTGTTACAACCAGCTATGAAGAGAATTCAGCTCCTGTTAAGCAATATTCAGATTATTTTCAGCAATTGCACCTCCAAGAGAAAAAAAAATGCAAGAAGAGAAACCTGCAAAGCAGCTTTTAGTGTTTTAAGTGTCTGCCTGATTCTCTTGCATGTTGACACATGTCTCTGATCAGGGCAGCTGAAAAGATAAATCATCATCCAAATATCAAGGTTTCATTCCAGAGCATGCCAAATCTCCCAAATTTCTGTACTAATGACCTTATTTTCCTGAGTCAGAGCTAGCTGGGAGTTAGAAGATGCCAGTGTTAGGTTCTTTAATGTGTAAGTTCTGCTCTGAGCAGGAGGGATTTGGGAAATTTTGGTCACGTTTTCAATCTGCAACTTTGACCCGTGGCCGGACAACTCCTGCTGGGAAATTCCTGTGGAAAGAAACATTCCTGCAGGGGAACTGGGAGATACTGGTTTTGCAAAGAATGCTTGAAAACTACTTTATGCCCTCAGCAGGAGCGGTTGGTCGAGTTACACGTACAGGGGAAAAAGAGTTTCCAACAAAAATTCAGGAGAAGTTCATCTGGAGTGGGGAAAAACAAAGCCTGGAGCTGGAAATGCCCTCATGATCACTCAACAGGTGATCTCTGCTGCTTCGAATGGAAAATAGGGATGAGATGAGAAATAAAAGCATCAAACAACCAATTAATCCCCAAAATATGAATATTTAATTGGCTAAAAATGGCCATTTGCTGAATAATTGCTGGGATAGCCCAGCAGCAAGAGTGGATGGAGTTTGCAGCATCCTGAGGGAATCCTCTCGTGCTGGAACTTAAATAAAATCCTTCCACAAGTCCCTGAGGGGGTTTCCAGTCCCAGAACCCCTGAGCACCCACATGTAGGCAGGTGCAACCAGGCAAAGTGCCAGAATGAATTTAAAGTTGTCTGATCTGTAAATAATTTTGGATTAGAATTTTGGATTAGAATTTAGAATTTTGGATTAGAAGCTAAATGGGAAATCACCTCCTTGGGGTTGAAATAGGAATCCCATCTGCAAGTTACTGATGTGGAACTGCTCTAATTTGTAACTTAGACATGCTGTAAAATGGGTTTGTTCTGTGGAATATCCTGATTTATCTAAGGCACCAGTCTTGTCCCTCTGAATGCTGCCATGATTCTGGGATGAGCCCAGTGGTTTTATGCAGGCTGACACCTCCAAGTGCAAACAGAACCAGGAAGGGATGCCCATTCCCATTCCCATTCCCATTCCCAGCCCATCAAAGCCTTTCCTTTCATGTTTTATTCAGTGAGCACCAAGCACGGTGTACAAGGAATGAAATGATCAGCAGTTGGGCAGAAATTGAGATGAGGCAGCAGATTCCAGGCAATCCGGAATCTTTTACATCCCAGCATTTCCTGGGAGCACCACCACAGCCTGCTCCAGGGAATCCTCATCCCAGCATTTCCTGGGAACACACCTCAGCCTGCTCCAGGGAATCCTCATCCCAGCATTTCCTGGGAACACACCTCAGCCCATTCCTCTGTGCATCCCCACGGCTCCGATCCCGCACGGAGCGTGTCCATGGAGCAGCAGCTCAGCCTGGAGAGCTCCTTCCCCTCCTGGCAAGCAGAGCCCTCAGGTTCCTGCAGCACTCCCACATGGATCTTTAAATTTAACCTCCAGTTTGTTCTCGCAGGGAGGAAATTCCAGATGGAATGGGAGGAAGAAGAGCAGCAACAATCCCAGCACAGCTCCTGATGCAGACAAGAATGCTCCTCAAAAACCACCTTGTCTTGCAGATTTTAATAAATAACCACTCCTGGAATTCTGGAGTGCACAGCAGAGTGAAGCAATCCTGCACCTTTAGCCATCCATTCCAGAGCTCCAGGAAATGTAAATCCCTTCCCTATGTCCCGGGCTGAGGTTCTGAGCTGGGGAGATCGTGGTGCTGTGCATGACTCAGCCATTCTGCATGGGGGTGAAAACACTTTGGCTGAGCCTCTGGGGTTTGCTGGGATAAAAATCTTCCAGGAGTGGAAGGACCAAGGCAGAAAGAGCAATGGTGTTTCCAGCCCTGCTTCTGTTTTACCTGGCTCAAGAGGATTAATTCCAGCATCTTCCTAATCTTTAACCCCAGCTTCCTTCCCGCTGGCCTCAGTGGGAGCACACAGGTGCTATTTTGGTTCTTTCAGGTGTTGCATAATGCACACAAGGCCCAGGACCTTTCCCTGTGCAGGAAGACTTCCTTTTACCTCTGGAACCTCAGACCCCTCCTCGAGTGGCAGTGCCACACCTGCACAAAGTCTGACCCGACTTCCTCATCTCCAGCTGAACCCTGATCCATGTGTGTGCTCCTCCTGCAGCGATTCGGGGCTCCCAACCCAGGGTTTGGTGCTGGAATTCAGCTGCATCTCTGCCTGGAGCACGAGGATTCCTGTCAGCCTGCCTCACCAGCTGCATGGGACAACAGCCAGAGGCTGCTGGGTTTTCTCCTTCAGCTCAGTTCAGTACACAGATGGAGTTTACCTACAACCATGTGGAAAAGTCCTTTTGAATGAAACCCACACGTTTGTGACCCTCAGGAAAGCAGAGCTTGATCTGCAGCACCCACAGGGATCTCATTTGGAGAGAGGCTTCTCACCATTCAGTACCAGCACAGCAGCTGAAAGCAGCTGAAGTTGGCACTGATTTCATGCCTCAGCTGCCCCCAGCAAAGCCACAGCTCTAAAGAACTCAGCTGCCCCCAACTTTGCAGCCTGGCTGATTTATCAGTGCCCAATCCCATCCTTAGGCACAGGGAAAGGAGAAGATGCAGCTCCTCTGTTAGAACAACATTCCTGGAGCAGCTCTGTCCCATTTTCTTCCAAGGCCAAATTAATTTTTCAACAATTTTCCTGTTCTTCCCTCCCTTGAAGTTTCCTCAGTTGTTTCCTTACATAACCAGCTGCTCCTTGCAGCTTGGGAACAGATCCCTTCCTTTCCAGCTTTCCTGGGCAGAGCGTGGTTTGGGCTCTGGGTCCTCCCCCTGTGCCAGGATTTGTACCTTGGAGCAGCTCTGCCAGAGAAAATGGGGAAAATGCAAGTTGAGTCCCAGGGAAAGGGAAAGCTTTCCCTCTGTTTTGAGTGTAAACATAATTTAGGAATGTGGTTTTGAACAGAACTATTCCCAACCAAAACCTCAAGTTTGGGGCCAGGGAGCATCACCAGCTTTAAACTGCAAACACTTAAAAATGGAGAGTTCTCAAAGAACTGTTCTAGGAATATCTCAGGGGGGTTTTGCATTTGCTCCTGGTGACAAACCTCAGTTCCTTGTGAGATTTGGGACATCATCTACATCCTTTGAAGGCTTTCAAGTTCAGGAGGTTGTGTAAATACATCAAGCTATCAACAAAATAATTGAGATGTCTGGGCTCTAAAATAAGATTTACATTCTGTTGTAGCCCCTGTTTTAGTCAGACATCTTTGCTTTGCTCTGAGTCATTTCTGAGGCAGCTGAAAGCAACAGCTTGGGTTGTGTGCAACATGAGGAGGTGAATATTATCACAGCTATGACAGGTATTAGTGGAAAATGGGTCCAAGCTCTTGTGCAAGTGCATCTCCCCTGAGATCTCATCAAAGGCAGCAGAGTTGCACCACTCCAGTCACTGCTCCGAGAGGGGAAAAGCAAAACTGGAGTGAGATTCTTGCAACAGATAAGAAATTAAAAATGAGATGCACTCTTTTCACAGATTTAACCCCATCTATGCAGCAGGGAACAGGTTCCTTTGAAGGCCACTTTCCCCAAACAGGTTTGGACACACAAAGCTGTTGACATCCATAAAACAAATGGAAAACTCCATAAAATGTGGCTTGGCAGGACCCAGAGCAGAGCCCTGGCTGCCTCTGAGCCAGCTGGAGCTCTGTGTCCTGCAGCACCCGTGCTGGATGCTTTTTTGGGCACAGAGGGGTGGGACATTGCCGTGGGACCAAGCTGCTCCCCAGGCAGCGTTTCAGCATCTCCCATTCCACTGGAATAACCTCCATGCTCCATGCACAGCTCCCCTGCTTCTCTCCACTAAACCTGCACCAGAAATCACTCCAAGCACTCATGGAATTGCTCCCAAGACACAGTTATTTGTACCATACTCGTGATGTTCGCGAGAGAAACAAAACCAAGCGCCCCAATTCCTAAAGCATTAAAATCCACATTAAAATCCCCTTGAAATGCCTTGTGCTTACTAAGCAGAGCTGAAGCACTTATTGCAGGGATTCTCCTCCATATTATCCAAGGTTTTTCCAACAGGGAAGGCAGGACTTGCACCTGCTTCCCGCTGACGGCAGCCACCAGCGACTCTAAGAAAGCCAAAGAGGAGAAATCCTCCAGCGATGAGCGTTCCCAGCACACGGTGTGAGCAGCACCTTCCCTCCTCCATCACCCCCCACCTATCGCAGCCTTTCACTCCTGCCTGTTTGCCTCGATTTTAGGGAATCCCTAAGGCAAACCATCACCTGGCAAACCAGACCGCAGGGCTGCAGCAACAAGTCCCGGGATGGCTTGGAAGGGACCCCAAAGCTCATCTCATGCCATCCCTTGGAGGGGACACCTCGAAGCCCTCGCTGGAGGCTGCAGGTGCGGCTGGAACGCCAGCAGCTCCCTTAAGGAAGGCACAGCCCAGCAACCCACGCAGGTTCTGCCAGCCCCGCTCCCGGGCCTTCCCCCCGCTCCTTACCGAGCCGCTGGGGACTCGCCGTGGCAGCGGCCGCGCTCGCCAAGGTCACCGGTCCCTGCCCGGGGGATGCTCCGGGATGCGACGCCCTTGGGCGAACCGAGCGGGGAAAGAGCGCCGGCACCGGGAGCACCGGGATGCGGGAATGCCGTGATACGGGAACACCGGGATGCAGGATCACCGGGATGCGGGATCCCCGGGATGCGGGAACACCGGGATGCGGGATCACCGGGATGCGGGAACACCGGGCTGCAGGATCACCGGGCTGCAGGATCACCGAGATGCGGGAACACCGGGATGCGGGATCACCGGGCTGCAGGATCACCGGGCTGCAGGATCACCGGGATGCGGGAACACCGGGCTGCAGGATCACCGGGCTGCAGGATCACCGGGCTGCGGGATCACCGGGCTGCAGGATCACCGAGATGCGGGAACACCGGGCTGCAGGATCACCGGGATGCGGGATCACCGGGCTGCGGGATCACCGGGCTGCGGGATCACCGGGATGCGGGATCACCGGGCTGCAGGATCACCGGGCTGCGGGATCACCGGGCTGCAGGATCACCGGGATGCGGCGGCTCACCGCGGCCCCACGCCTCCCTCACCTCCCCTCCGCGCACCGCAGCTCCCCAGCCCGGCTCTGCCCGCGCTTAAATCCCCACCTTTCCCCCTCCCTGTTTTCCTCCTCCCCCGTTCCTCACCTCCCGCCCGCTCGCTCCTGTGGCCGCGGCCCCGGGCCGGTCCCTCCGCCCCGCCCGCTGCCGCAGCCGCTGCGCCGGGAGCGGGGGAGGAGGAGCGGCGGAGCCGGGCTCGGGGAAATCCGTGGGATGGAGCTGGCTGGCACCTCCGGGACGCCAGCTGTTTCCCTGGAGCTCCGTGTCTCCCTGGCTTTTCCCGGCGCTGGCGTCATGCGCTCGGCGGCCGCGCTGCGGGATGCGGGATGCGCCAGAGCTGCCCCGCACACAGCGGCTTCTTATGGCACCCCCCTATTGCGACAGAGACCCTTCACATCGCACCCCTCCATCGCCACAGAGACCCTTCACATCGCACCCCTCCATCGCCACAGAGACCCTTCACATCGCACCCCTCCATCGCCACAGAGACCCTGCAGCGTGCTTGTCCTGCCAAGGGTGCCGGCAGGTGCCTGCGAGCGTCCCAATGGGTGGGAAGGAGCTGGAGCCTCAGCGCGGTGTTCCAGCGGCAGGAGAGGGGATTTGGGATGGTTTCACATTTATCAGGTACCCCCAGGTGTCAGGCGAGGCGGTTCCAGAAAGGAGAGATAGGGATGGACAGGTATTTTCAAGATTTAACCTGAAATCCCGTGGAATACAACATGACCCTGCCGATCACGAGGCTCAGGCTTCTGCAGTCTATTCTGTCCCAGAGATAAAAAAAGGTTCATTTAATGTCCTTCTCGCCGCCAAACATCTACTTTAGAACATAACTTTGCAGTTTAAGTGAGAAATAAAAGTGTCAGGAACGCTTTTTTCCCTATTTTCCCCCTGGAGCAGCAGGATTCCAGGCACGATCTCCCTCACCAAAGTGTCGCTGTTCTGGCACCCACCGGTGCCTTCCGACCACAAAGGAATGCAAACCGTTTCGAGGGCCAGATGTAAGAGCTGGTGTTGAAGCTGCTCTTTTCCTGTCTGAAGACATTTTAACGATGCTTTAAAGCTGCTCTTTAAAGCACTTGCACAAACAGAGCTGCGCAGGTGGCAAAGGGGCCATCGGGATGTGGCGCTTTCATTCCCAACCCAACAGTGCCTCTTCCTGCAGCTGCTGGTTTTATGGATGTTGACTGTGGAACTGATGCTTGCTTAGCCTTTGCTATTAAAATATTCCCGTGCAAAGGCTTTGTTTGAAATTGAAAATGTCCCTTTCAGGCCTGTCCTGGAGCTCTGAGATGTGTCTGGGCACGAATCGGGCTGGTGAAATCCCTGAGCAGGCAGAGCTTGAAATGGTCAGAGTGGTTTTGCCAGTGATCAGCGGTGGATGAGTGTCACCCAGTCCCCTAAAAATCCTGGCAAAAGGATTTTGGGTGATCAGGGCACTTGCTCCACACAACAGTTTAATTTAGGGTATTTATTCCAGGAGCTGCTCTTTACAGAGAGGAGTTTACAAAGAACTGTCCCACAGTGTCATTAGCACCCCGATGAGCTGTGATTGGCACAGAATCCCTGAATCTTGGAATTTAAATTGGAAAGGATCTCCAAGATCACTGAGTCCAGGTGTTCCCAAAGCCACCACTAAACCCTGTCCCCAAGTGCCACATCCCTGCAGCTTTTAAACCCCTCCAGGGATGGGGGCTCCACCAGGGCCTTGGGCAGCTGTGCCAGGGCTGGGCAGCCCTTTCCAGGAAGAAATTGTTCTCAAAATCCAAACTGAACCTCCCCTAGCCCAGCCTGAGGCTGTTCCCTCATCCCTGGGGGCAGAGCCTGACCCCACCCCGGCTGTCCCCTCCTGCCAGGGACTTGTGCAGAGCCAGAAACTCCCCCTGATCCCCCTTTTCTCCAGGCTGAGCCCCTTTCCAGCTCCCTCAGGAATTCTCCAGCCCCTTCCCAGCTCCCTCAGCCCCTCCAGCCCCTTCAGCCCCCAGGTGAACTCAGCAGCTGCGGCGGAGGAAGGTTCATTGTTGTATAAATGCCCCACATTTGCCTTTGACACACTCTGGCTTATCAAAAGGAGAAGGATTTGCCTCACAATGAATTTCAGATTTGCTGATAACCGGGTCTTGTTTGCCTTGAGACAAGACAGGGCTGCAAAGGCCCCGCCAGGCCCCGCTGGTGTTTCCAGAGGGAAGAACCTCCCGAGTCAGAACTGATGGAATTCAGGATTAACAGCTCTGTTTGGAGAAGTAGGACAGAGTTTAATCAAAAGGAGGCTGTGGTTTGATTTATCAGGCTCTGCTGCTGAGGGAGGCAAGGCTCTGCTTCCCCCCAAGCCTCCTGCTGCTCCTGCTGCCTTCCCTGACTCAGGAGAAGCCTCTGGCTTGTCCCTTGCAGGGAATGAAAAGCAAATTAATGAAAAAGGAACAAAAAGTGAACAACAAAAAAAAAGGAAACGAAGAATTAACTTTTGAATTAACTTTTCTCTTAGAGCGGGGTTTGAAAAGGAGAGACTTCATGTGGTTAAATACATTTATTTATAAAACTCACCCTTGCATTTACCAGTTGCAGGATGACCCTTCTGCACCGAGCAAAGGAGCCCCAAAACCTCCCAATGCCTTAAAATCAGGCCTATAAAATAAAAGATGAGGAACACAACTACATTTAATTGCCAACTTCCTCAGGGTTACCATCCTCCTGCTCCAGACCTGCTGGAACCTCGGCCTCCCCTAAAAACCCCGTGCTTGTCCTGGTGAAAACCAGGTCAAACTACCTGTATAAAGTAGATAAAAATACGGGACTTTGTTTCCTTGTCTCCCCAGGGGCTGCTGATCTGCTCCCTTCCTGGTTTGGCCCCTGGAGAGTTGTGTTAATTATTGCTGGGGATTCCAGCTTGGCTTTGGCTGCTGCAGGAAACATCCAGCTCAGCCCCTGGAGACAGGAATAAAATCCCTGCCCTGCCAGAAAGGCCAACATGGGAATATTGAACATAGAGCCTGGGAATATTTCCTGAGCCTCTGGGCTCTGTCACAGCCCTGCAGGAATATTCTATAACAGGCCAGGCTCTTCCCAGCCTGGATCACCGGATCCAATTTCATAGAATCCCAGAATTCCAGGGTGGTTTGGGTTGGTTTGGTTGAGTTAAGGGACCTTAAAATCATCTCATTCCATCCCCACTGTCCCAGGCTGCTCCAAGCCCTGTCCAGCCTGGCCTTGGGCACTGCCAGGGATCCAGGGGCACCCACAGCTCCTCTGGGAATTCCTCCCCACCTTCACAGGCAGGAATTTATCCCTAAAATCTGATCTGAGCAGACATGAGGGTGTTCCTGCAATCCCAACAAAGCAACAGCCCGAGCTCTTTTCATTTTCCAGCAGTGAGAGATCTGTTTGTCTCCTTTCAGATCCTGTCTGGCTGATGAGGCCGTTTGGTAAATGGAAGGAAACGTCCAGGGTAAGCAGGGAAATCTGGCAGAGTTTGCAGAATATTCTGGGCAGAGGTGATGCTCTGGCTAAACCTGAGATTACTGCGTTGCTAATTGTGTTCCCAACCAATTTGGTGATGCTGTCGGCAGCCGCCCTCTCCTGACGGAACTGCAGTTAGAGATGACCTGACAAATTAGAGAACAACGCTTTTATCTAATGACAGGGCAGGCTGGAGAAAGCCCTGAACACCCTGGGTGGGTGATTCTCCCACATTTATTATGTGTGTGCCACCACAGCTCTCGTTTTGGGGAGTGCAGTGAGGCAGGAGAGGCTCCGAAGGACGCTGCTGCAAGCAGTGACCGCGTCTGATCCTCCCTCGTGCTGTGATTTCCTTTGGAATTTTGTGCCAAAGAAGTTCCTTGATCCCTTCTGAGAAATTCTCTTTTATGGGAATCTGTTCATCTGTGGCATCCAGTGGATTTGGGATTATTTATCAGCAGCCTTGTCCTCAATATCAATAAATATCAATATCAATATCAATAAATATCGATAAAAATATTAATAAATACAAATATAAATATCAATAAATATCAATATCAATATCAATTAATGTTCTGGGTTAACTGGCCTGCACCCAGCTGGGGGAGGGGCTGGGTGGAATTCTGGGATCAGGAACAAGTAATTAGAAGGTAAAGGAATAATCAGCTTGGAGAAAAGGGCTGGGCAGGATCTCCAGTCCTGGGTGAGTCACATTTTCACATTTCTGCTTCCTGCTCTGTCCCTTGGCCAGTATGAAACAGCTACAGCCAGGCTGGGCTCTGCATCTCCCGGGATAACTGGGATAACTGGGATAACTGGGATTTCTTCTTGACCTGGGCATCCCAGCTTGTCCATACTCCCACCCTCACTGGGATATCAGGTGGGAATCCCCATCCCACTGCTGGGAGTGCCTGGGTCTCTCCCATCACTGATTCCAAAGTGTTCCAGAGGAAAATCCAGTTGCTTGGAGAGGTCCAGGTTTCCCTCTGGAGAAGGCAGCTGAGT